AGCCCCCACACCAACCTCTTCTCCCACCACGGAAGCCTCCACACCAGCCTCTTCTCCCACCCAAGGGAGCCTCAACACCAGCCTCTTCTCCCAGTCAAGGGAGCCCCCACACCAGCCTCTTCTCTCACCCTAGTGAGCCCCAACACCAGCCTCTTCTCTCACCAAGGGAGGCCCAACACACAACTCTTCTGCCTCACTCTCCACCAAGCTTCAGGTATCAGGTTGACATCCATCTCTACATGGCAGGCCTCAGGTCCTCTTGCAGGGCTGTACCTAAAGGAGGTTGACAGGATGGAGTTAATCTCAAGGATCTGACCGTGGAACAAGAGCCTGAGAAGGGTACTGTGAAAGGATGGCTATTTTATGGGTTCTTTTCAGTTGTAGGTAACTAGAAAATGTCTGAAGAGCAGTAAGTGCAGAGAGCAATGGCCCCATTTTATTCCCATAGGGAGGAAGACTGAGTATCATGGTAATGGATCTGACTATTTGCCGATGGAAAAGCTTTTTCAAGAGTGCCCTCAGCTCCTGCAGAAGTCAGTAGGGCTTTGCACTGGTTCTCTGGCTCCAGCTGGCACGAGTTGCTAAGGAAAGACTACAGGAAGACAGCAAGTTCATAGTGGTGCTTCCTCAGACTCGTATTCCAGCTGGAAAGGCATCTTTACATTTAGATGCTGCAAGTTTGGGTTTGAGTATTGTTTCTCAATCACCTGCAGGAGCCTCCCTTGGTGTCTTCAGTGCTGTCATTAAGAATTTTGGCTCAGAACATAACCTTAATAAAGCCTGATGGCATGGAAACCATACGTCCAGTACACCAGTCACTGGGGCAGTCCTACAGCAGCGTCACTTCGTGGGCTTACTTCTGGCCTACAGCCATACTGCAAGGCTGAGGAGCTAGGGAGGCAGCAGGGCTGTGAGGAGGGAAAGAAAACAGCATTTCTTCTTTTCCCTCCTCTTTCTGAAGAGCAGTAGGACATTTTTTACTATTTAATTAATAGTATTATTGCCTTCTTTAATCAACATTTGACTTCTTCCCTGGCAAATACATTGTGCCCCAGGGTGATTTCAAGATGTGATTATCTTCAAAGGCTTCCAAGCTGGCTGAGGCTGCAGCATCTGTGTTTTATTGGAGTGCTCTTGGTATCTCCAAGCACCACACCCTTGCAGCACGCCGTGTCCCTCGGATGGCAGGCAGGAGGATGGAGAAAGCAGCAGCCACTTCCAGGGGGCTTTAAGGGCTGCTACAAGTAATAGAAATCCTTTATAAATAACAATTACGGACTTCCACCAGCTTGTCCTGTTGTTGAGTGATGTTTTATTATTGATTTAACTGACCTATAGCTTAAGTTTTTATGAATATTATTCATTCCTTTCTGAACTACATCTGCTTACTAGAGAGACCACTCTATGAGATGATCTGTAGAGCATCTCTATACTGCTATAAGGAAGTAGGATAATTTACTTCTTTATACAAGCCTGCCATCTAGGCAAATCTTTGTTATAAGTTACTATAAAAAGGTTAGTGTTTGCTTTAGTCCCTCTTTAAGCTCGGTTTTACCATTCATTTATACATGTGTATTTATCTGAACAGTCAGTACTTCACTATTTATAGAGAAGAAAAGTAGTCCCTGTTCCTACCACGTGTCTTCTGACCTGATTGAAGATGCAGTTTAGGCCAATACACTGGGCCT